GGGGTTGAGCTCTCCTTCTGATGTCATACATATTGTCCGTTTACTACCGCGCACATTGTAGGTTACACCATTGCTCTTAATCCACACAGGAAGAAAGACCTCTGAGGGACCGTACCTGTCAAATTGCTGGCCGTTGTTTCATTTTGTTCATTCATTTGAAAAAGAAATCCTTGTTCATTAGTTCACTTCTTCACTTTTTTTTTTTTTTAAAGATAATTTAAATTCCTCTCCGGAGGTTTGAATCACTGTTCTCTCATACAATGACTTCACAAAGTGACCAGAATCACTCTCTTGCCTTTTTCTCCTAATTTTCATCATTCCTTTCCATCATTTTCCCCCCATTTTGAATTTGTGTCTTCTGTCACCTTTACAAATAGTTTCTGTCTCCACAGTCTTTAGTAGTGATTGGAAATGAGCATACAATACTTCCTGTACTATGTGTAAAAGGCAGTGGGGGGGGGGGCATCAATGCAATAGGGGAGACCTCTGATTTTCTGTAGAGATGAATGTTTATCAATGTAACCAAATGTGCCACCCTGTACCCATACTACTGGCTTCAGGTCTGCACTGCACTCACCATACTTGTCATTCATTTGTAGCTCTGTGCACATGCTTTATATTCTGTCACGTTAGACATGTTTCTGTTCTCCAGTATGCGTCTGTGGCTGCGTGAAGATACTGACTGAAGAATAATAAAAAAACAAAAACTTTTTGGTAACAAGTTTGAGTAACTCCACTTAATTTGCTCCTGCAAAATGAATGCAGTTATGACATTGAACTTTGTGAATCTTGTCATTTCAGAGAATTCTGAGAAATGTGTCATTTTACACGCAAATACACAATTATTTCTACACTATCATGTGATCGACTGAGACCTAAATAATGAATGAACTCAGAAGGGATGGCCCTGAGCTCTACACTGAAACTTCTCACATTGTCATTCACAGGTCAACAAATAGTTTGGAAATACTTCATGATACTACTCATTCGTGAAAGCAGTCCTCTAAGCCCCTCCCCAGAACACAGCAATTGTCCAATCATAGCTTAGCAACTGTAAACTCGACATGGCAGGTCTGTCTACAAGTCAGGTGTGACGTGTAGCCTGCAAGAATGCAGATGGACCCTTCTTCCTCCAAGGCCAAGGAGCCCACCATTCATTAGCTTGGCTAATTAGCTAATACAATCTGCCCGCAACAGTTGTCATTTAAGATATTGAATGTTGGACAGGATGTGTGCCTCTGGCTAAAATCAAACGCAGGCTGTTTCAGAAATGACTACCGACTGGTAAACTGCTGTCGATAGCATTTTAACCTGCATGTGTTGCGCATGACTTTGAACAAGCGGAGCAACAGTATCTAAGGGAGCTGGGCTAAACAGTCAATTTATAATTGGAGTAATCCTTTACTGCAAGAAACCAAATATACAAATCTGGTCGATAATGAAAAGAATATTCTAGTCCTACCAAACATTTTACTCGTCTATTTTCTTTTCTTTTGTGCATTTGTTTACCAATGGAAGTGTTGTTGATCATGGGGTCCTCGGCTTTTATATGATATATCTGAATGTTATTGAGCATTGTTATTTAATTCTTGTCTCCACTGTATGTGTATATATATATAAAAAAATAAGATGAGGTGCATATATGAATCGCTGAGATCAAACTATGGTACTGTATCACTGACAACGTGATAAGAATTTAAATACTTTTGTTCAATAAATCTTTTTGAAAAATACTAAAATGACACGTGTTGAAATGTTTGATTGGTTGTCCTCTTTACCATCCTGCTGGTTGTTGTGCCTCCCTCCTACCTGCACTGGCTCTCATTTGGAAGACGCTTTTTGCTATGTTACAATTTTATCTGGATAAACAAGCATATCAGGAGCAATTTGGGGTTCAGTGTCTCACTCAAGGACTCCAGAGGTGGACAGAATGAGCCACAGGTTGAATGATCAACCCTACATTTAATGGCTGACACGCTCCACGACCTGAGCTACATCTGCCCAATATGTCATCAGAGAAAGAGTCGGGCATGTCAGCAGGCATTTACAGAATGCGGCTCATTGACTGCAGTTCAATGGATGCTGTAACAAAAAAAACCTCTTCCTCACTTCCCTGGAGTCAACAAGTGATAAGTGGTTCTCAACAATGCTGCGAGCAGCACTTCTGGGGGTCCAGCAATCATCCCGCTACAAACAGAACTGCACTAGTGTCATAAAAAAGTCATAGTATAGAATGCCATAAAATAATCACAAAGTCACAGTATAGTATGACAAAAAAAGTCATTATACCATGTGATATAATAGTAATTATATAGTGTGTCTTAAAAAAGAATGAAGAAGACTATTAAAAGATGCCACAGTATAGACATAGTATATTACGTCGTAAAAAAGTTAAAGTATAGTATGTGATGAAGTCATTAAAAGTCATAGTACCATTTGTCATAAAAACGTCAAAAACAGTCATAGTATAGTATGTTATAAAAAGTAATAGTATAGTTTATCACAAAAAAGTAATAAAAATGTAATAAAAAGTAATAGTATACTATGTTATAAAAAGATAAAAAGGTCATAGTATAGCATGTCATAAAAAAGTCATAATATAGCATGACATAAAAAAGTCATAGTATAGCATGTCATAAAAAAGTCATAGTACAGCATGTCATAAAAAAGTCATAATATAGCATGACATAAAAAAGTCATAGTACAGCATGTCATAAAAAAGTCATAATATAGCATGACATAAAAAAGTCATAGTATAGCATGTCGTAAAAAAGTCATAGTATATGTCATAAAAAGTCATAGTATTAGTATGTCGTAAAAAAGTCATAGTATAGTACGTCGTAAAAAAGTAATAAAAAGTCATATTATAGTATGTCACACCTCAGCATTACTGTGGTTTATGTACTATATTTGAGAAAAGGTATATTTTGGAAGATATTCTATTACTATTCAGTGTTTGGGAACGACATTTGCATCTGCCACGGGAACAATAACAGGATAACATTACATGTTATTTTACTATCATACATTTGGGCGATTAAAACGATGTATTTAACAACGGAGGAGAGAATATTTTTACCTTGCAAACCTATCGCTTAAATGTTGGCTGCAGTACCTTAAAACTCCACACGATGGCAGTATTGAGCTTCTTGCATTTTCACCTGACAGCTGTCCACATTTTCAATAGCCACATTACTGTCATCCAGTGGCCTGTATGGCTTCCTGTTTGAGCAGAACTATTTCCAATGAGCTCAGTTTAGAAACAAACACTTAATTACTTCATAGAAGAGTGAGTCAAGTCCGTTGTTTCTGCTTTGCAAATTTAGTTTAAATGGGGTCTGAGTAAGACAAAACTGTAGCATGAGTCGTAACCTAACTGGCTTGTTTTGTGTTATTAAAAGGAAAATTAATGGAAAACTCAACAAAGCAGCCAAACTGAAAGGGGAGAGAGGCCAGGAGGGAGAGAGGGAGACTAGCTGACTGCTACAAGCTTAAAGGTTCTCCATTTGACATTCAGAGCATCATGCGTCCACATGATGGGCTCCCACGCACACTTCACCCTAATGGAAATAAGTGGCTATTATCTTGTCTTTTCTTCCCTCAATAGCCAATAGCCATTTTTCCTGTTACTAGCAAATCTCACAAAAGCACAGACATGTATCCTGAGGAGACCTGTAGCTGTCAGCGCTTTCTGACACAAAAGGTTTCCAAAAAGCAGGACTTCTGCACAGCCAAGCAGAAGCAGCGTTGCACAGATGGACTGACTGAGTTTGTCTTCAAGAGAAAGTTCATCAGTCTCTCTTCTTGTGTACATCCACTCATAGGCAGCAGCAATGGTTGGTGTGGTCGGGAATGACATTTTATGAGGATTGGATTTGTTCCTCTTTAAGAAAGACAAAAAACATCCTTAAAACCCAGGAAGCCCGATGCTGAAGACGCCACTGCGACTAGCTCTCAATCCACGGCCTTGAAGTCGGTCAGCTCACTGAAGAACTGATGTGCCCGGAGTTGTGACCGGGCCGCCTACAGTACCACTCCAATAGCTAGTGTATCCCTGACCAACAACTTGCCTTCAGCTGAATATACAATCAGAAACAGGGGAAGAAGTAATTCCCAAGAGTGTGTTTATTTTTGGGGGGTTAAACACACCTCTTTGATCTTTCAGGAAGCCATTTAGGTTGTTTTTAGGATGAAATTTAAAAAAATCTGATTGCATAAGAAATATTTGCAAGTCCTTTATGAAATCCTTTTTTTGCATCTTCCCTCAATCCCTCCAGCTAGTTTGCTAACTTTCTGTGAATATTGCTCATCTTGGCAAAGACAAATAAAAAAAAAAGAGATATCTTTAAGTGAGGCTTTTAATTAATTAATTAATTAAGTATTTTTTGCAATTTGAAACATTTATTTCTTCAGTAAGTTGCCGATAAGAAAGAATTTGTCCATTACACTGTCACTGGCAAAGATCATCTGCACTTTGTGAGGAAGCTGACCGTCTGTGATGTTTGTAACGTTTCCTCTGACCCACAACAGAGAGACGCAGCATGGATTCAGCCATTACTCTGCCGATGTACTCGGAGAGAAGCAGACATCCACAGCATAGTGAACCTGATACCTTTGCGCCTTGTCACTGGATGTTGACACAGTCTGTCTGCATAGACAATGTGAAACCTGCCTGGTACAAACTTCTTTTCATCCGCTTTCATCCACGCTTTCACTCTCCCATCTGCTTTTCTCTCCTTTAACACCTTGAACAAAAACAATCTAAGCAGCTCGAGGACAAAGGTGCTCACACTGAGCTCCTGACAACAGCCTAAAAATATATCGTAGCAAAAGTAATTAAGGAGCTTGAGGGCCTGTGTCTGTATGCAGATGTGTCCTTTCAATTTAAATTACC